AATTTTTGACATGGAGAGGATCCCAGGGACCAGTCCTGGCACCTTGATTGGGAAGGGCAGGATCTCCTCGCCCTAAATCTTTTGCTCAGGATACTGTATTAGTTCTTATCTTGTGAGAACATTTACCACTACAGAGTTTTTGCAGGCACACTTGAAAGAAATTAAAAGACTCAAAGCATTAAACAAGTCCCTAATGATGACAACACAATTGCTACTACTGAAATATCATTTCTTACATAACAAAAAAGACACTGGGTTGTCACATTGTTCACTTATCTGTGCCTCAGTTCTGAGTCTTGGTTCGAGTAAGACTGTGTACTGCCCTGAGCAGACTTTCTTATATATTCATGAAGCAAAATCTCACATTTCAGTAAGCGTAAATATTCCTTTAGTGCCAGATTAGTGTTAAGCTACATTTTTTCCTCCTCTGGCAGCAAATGTATCTGGCTCCAAACAACCTCAAACCAACAGCATTACCTTATCAGGGTATAAACTCAGAGCAAAAATAAATTTTACACTTTGATCAAAATTTGACATCCAACCTTTGAGGTGTGCACAGCACAGCTGTGAAGTGTTCACAGCACTTCCACAGGCTGCATAGTCCTGGTTAAGAATCACTGTGTTAGAGAAGGTGTATGCTCTTTTCTCCCCGAGAAGCTATAGCTCACTGGTAATTATACATCTTATTATTTTCCAAGGAAGGTTGTTGATTTTGTATTCTTCACATTAGAAAATAGGAATTATTTTCCTCCACCAGATCAATGCTAACTATCTTTATTAAGCATGAACCCTTTGAGATGCATTGTGACCAATAATTGGCCACCTCTATACTAATAAAATAAATATGACCTTTAGATAAATACATAGGTGCTACTAGCAGTGAGGATTAATGAACAATGAATAAACTTTGAAATAAGAGGCTCTGAAGCATTTTTTGAGACAGGTGAACTTTTAAATTATGGTCTGGTTTGCACAGGGAATATTTAAGATCAGTTGCTCTCAAATTCTTCTTTTAAGCAACAAACGTTGCTCGCCGAACTTTCTCACAGAACTGAACATATAAAACGGATAATAATAAGGCTATTCCGGTGGAGAGAAGAGGGTGTAGAGAGAAAAAAGCTGTGCTTACACTCTTCTGTTTCCAACCCCTTTGCACAACAGCAGTCCCCGAGCCTTGCCCTGGTGTCTGGGGGCTTCTAGGTGCACAT